TAATATCGTAAAATTTTAATTTTTGTAATACTTTTTTAGTTTTTTAAAAATATTTTGTTATTCTAAACTCTATCTTATATTCTATTTAACTATTTAAATTATTAAACAAAATTTATATATAAAATTATTTAAAAAAGCACTGATGATTTTTTTAATTTTTTAAATTTTGTAGTAAGTGATTTGCAAAAGTTATTAACATAAATTATAATTAAAAGAATTTATTTTATTTTTTGTTTATTTTTTCAATTTTCTTTTTAGTAAATAAAAAGTTTTAATTTTTTTTATTTCTTATGTTTTATTCAGTTTTTCTTTCAGTCAAGAAATTCTTCAAAAAGTGATCAGAAAAACCGGGAAAGGTCAGGGAATATTTTTTTGCTTCTGTAGCAACCCTGATTATGTAATCTAAGAATATTGTTATTTCATTGTTAATGTTGTAGGAATAACATAGAACCGGAAAACCCACAATTTGAGCACTATGTAAACAGCTTTGTTGGATCACTGATACTCGAGTTAGAATCAAAAGCAAACACTCTTACTACCGAAGACATGTTTGTAACAAAGATGAAATTGATAGAGGCTGCTAGCATGTTCCGAGTGAGTTATATTTATCTCTTGTGTTTTGCGTTTATATTTCACTCATACTTAATTTATTTACTTTAATGAATTATAAAAATGTTACATATCTCTATTGTTCTTTTATTATAGCAAAGATACAGTGAAAATCCAATGTCATTGTATAAAATAATTAGACATTGCTTGGGCACGGAAATGAAATTGGTAGCAGAAGCCGAACATTTAGGAGGTTTAATAAGCAGTGACAGGGTCAGTTTGATGATAGGCGATACGGTAACGGAAATAGCTCATCAGGTCGATACATTACGGCGAAAGACATATGAGACCGGGGAGGATTTACGAAAGATAGAACAGGAGCAGGAGTCTTTCGCTCTTAGTTATCACGAGTGTACGAAACTGAATGCCCATTTGCAACATATCGCTATGCAAGTGCAGAATCAGCAAAATATGGAGTTAGAAAAAAAGATTAGGAGGTAAAACGGTTGTTTATAATTTACATTTAAAATGTACAATATAT